CCTTTTCCCCCCTCGGGATAACGAACCCTTTCCCCTTGGGATAACGATCCCTTTTCCCCTCCTGTTCACACGGGCTGATTCCAGCAGCCTCCGTGCCGGGGATAATGAGGAAATTAAGGGATACGGCATCCCGTTTCCAGGTAATTTTTGGTGGGATTTGCGGGAACGAAGTGAAATCCGGATCTTTTTAAGACTCAGGGCTTGTGGATCCCGGGAGCGGAGCGCGATACATGCCCCAGGGCAGCTCCCCGTCACCGACAATTCCCGTTCCCGCTCCACAACGTTCACGCCATGGGAATAAAGGAGCAATTAGCCAAGAGATCCGATGGATTAATGAGTCACGAATCCCTTTTTCTCCTCCAGCCTTTCCCGCTGCACGCACCGCGTCAAACTGGGTGAAGAATTCCTCGGGTTTGCTCTCGGCGCTCTCCGGATCGGCTTTGACATCCAAATGAGTCACGAATCCCTTTTTCTCCTCCAGCCTTTCCCGCTGCACGCACCGCGTCAAACTGGGTGAAGAATTCCTCGGGTTTGCTCTCGGCGCTCTCCGGATCGGCTTTGACATCCACCATGGGATTGAGGTTCTGCGCCCGTTCCAGCGACGCTTCGCCCAAGGATCCCGCCGGGATGAGGAACTGGGCCCGTGTGTCCTCCTGGGAAACCTGGAACGGGAGAGAAAAACCACAAAACTCCGGATGTTCCGTGCTGTTCCTCAATCCCATGCCACTCCGGAGCTCGCAGCTCCCTCTTGCGCCGGCGGGGACGCCGCGCCGTGAGCCGGAGGCCACATTTTCCCGGGAAACACGTTCAGCCGGCGCCGTTTGCCGCTCGGATCAGGAATTAAATCCCACCACGGAGCCTGTTTGGGGATTTCCAAAAAAAGGGAAGAATTTGGTGCTCCCAAACCGGAATAATTCCACCCCGGGCAGAATATTTCTCCCCAAAAAAAGCAGAGAGCAAGTTTTCCGGCATCATGGCGCACCGGGAGAGTTTGGAAATTTTGCCATGAGCTCCTCACCTGCTGATGGTCCAGCATGGTTAACCCTTTGACTCCCGCCAGGATGAGATTCTTGGCCACTTCTGCTCCCAGACCCTTCATCCCCACCAGCAGCACCCGGGAAGCACGTAACCTGCGGCAGAAACGTTCCGTCAACGCCGATGGCTCGGCCGGAGCATCCCCCAGGAGGGTTGGGATGACACGGAATCGGAAGGAAAACACGGCGGATAAACGCAACCGGAGAGGAAAGCCGCGCTCCTCGGCATCCCTGCCCAGAAAAAAGCTGGATTAACATAATTTGGAAGCAAAGAGAAGAACACAGGGATTGTCCGGAGCGGGCGATGGACGAAAATTCCCAGGCCTGGAGCTGCACTGGGATGTGGATAAATCGGGATTAATGGGAAACAAACACATTTTTGGGGAATTTATTCCAGCACAAAACCCTGCGCGTGAGTTTGGAGCTTTCCCAGTAACCGAGCGATGCGTTTTCCTCACTTTTAGCACGGAGATATTCCCGCCCACCCCCTCGGAATTCTGTTGTTGATTAGTTTGTATCAGTTTTCCGACAAAAATCCAGTTTACTCAGCTCCGGGCGATAACGCTGCCGGATAAACGGAGCGACTCGTGCTTTTTTTGGCCTGTTCTCCCGCTCGTTTTCCTCGGCGTCCAGCCACACCGTCACGTTTATCTTCCCGGTTTGGGGTTGTTCCACCTTGTCCTGAACGAACCCCCAGCACTTCTTCCCGGGAAACACCTGGAGCAGATCCTTCCCAATTCCAGCTGGGATGGAACCAGAACCCGGTTATCTTGTTTTTTGGCACCAGCATCCATTCCAGCAGGCACAAATTCCACCGAACGTGCACCGCCAGGAGTCTGGCTAAGCCTGAGTGTCGCAGGAGGTCAGGAAGAGACCCCACAGACCCCCTAGAGACCCTATAGGCCCCACACACCCCCCAGA